TAAATCAATGAATCACAATTTAAAAAAGTTTATTGACCAATGTATTAAGAGTGAAAGACATTTTAATACTTCGAATTATGTAAATTGATTGTTCTAACCAACCTTTCGACTTTCTGAGTGTGTCTATAGAGTGTTATATCCAAACCAAAGGTGTGTCGACAATGATTTGAATGTATTACACAAGAACATTTGCACAGCCTGTCTTGGCACCCAAACCTACGTTATCTTAGGAATTAAATTAGTTGAGCGTTTACTACTTGGCCAATATGTAAAAAGTCATAATATAATTTGAAATAAATACGTTTTTACCCGAGTTCGGCGGTGATGGAAAATATTCTCGTACTATAAAGTGGTTAAGTTCCCTTATAATGGTTTGCAATTACTAAGAAGAAACGCCAAAGGATCAAATCAAACGGTTAAAGGAATAAAATGTGTCCAGAGAAAATAAAAATAGATAAGCTTGAAATAAATTATATGGAATAATCTAATATTAGAAAATTATTTTACATTGCTATAGTTTAGCATTTATCATTGCTTACCTGGTTAGCAAAACTATAACTAGGACACATCTTAATTAGAAATAGAGGAAAAGGGAATATATATTTGAAAATATTTTACATCCCTTGGTAAAACATATTATGTTATTAACATTCTAAAGGAAAACGTTCTGTAGTTGGTCATATAAACCATAACAAAAAAGTATAGTTTCTTAGGTTATTCTTTTTAAAAATTGGCCTCTATACACACGAAATCACGCAAAAAGCAAGTTAACAATCATAAGGCAATATTGTTATTGTCTTTTCTAGTTATGGAGACTTTGGTACTATTAAATTTCTATCATTCTCTCGGGAATCGGAAGTCTCCAGAGTATCTCCACCTTGAAAAAACCGATCAGCATCACATATCATATTTGCACTATTACAACACTGTCCTGTATGATCCGTTGCAGATGGCGCAGTCGAAGCAGAAGCTTCATCCATTAGAATAATAGCTCCTGGTTCGGCACTAGATGTATGGCTGATTATACTAAAATCTTCTTGGTCCAAAGTAAATAGTGGATTATTCCATCGTGTTATATTGCTAGACCGGGGCGTACCTACACAATTATCAAGAATTAGTTAAAACGTAACATGAGCTCTATAAGAGGACTGATTATTAAATTCCAGGACTTGTTGTAACAAAGTCACCCCGTTCTACGGAACGTCTGGGAAAGGAGAATGGTCAAAAGACAGTTTGAAAAATGCATTCAAAGCAGTTGAGAATAAGGAAATGGGAGTAAACGCTGCAGCAAAGGCGTTTGGCGTACCAAAAACGCGAGTTTGGCGAGTTTTATTAAAGTTCCAATGGGAAAAAACTCGTTGTTAAAAGCTAAAAACAAAAAAATGGTTGGGCATATTAAAAAACTACAATCGACAGGATTTATTGTAACAATGTAAAGTGACCATCAAGAAAACATATTTTCTTACGCGCCATCATTGGTCAAATGACTACTTTCATTTTTTGTTTGCTAGATTATAGTTCCAACATCACAAGCAGCAGAGATTTAACATAATTAAAAAACATTAAAAGAATGTTTGCAGGAGCTTAACAACATTTCAAAAGAACAAAATTCTCATGGCACTTTCAATAGTAGAAACAACGTTGGGAAAAGTTTTTAATCACTAGTCCTGGAACTTTTTGATCACCAATCGTAAACATACTTTTAGTTTTAACTATTAAACTTATTTACTCACCTCTCGCCGTACTCACTGTAGGAGAATACATACTGAGGTTCGTAGGGCTGATTACTCCAGACATTCCCGTTATATTGGGATAACTGAATAGCTGAAAAAATATAAACTTAGTAACAAATCTTATCTATATTAAAAATCCCTGTTGTCCAAAGGAAGAATACAATCGATTACTATGTATACAACTATGTAAATTTTATATATTTAAAATAACAATTTGATCGAAATCAAACAACTAAAATTGATTTTGTGTTAGTAGATAAAGTTATCATATTTTTTATAAACTCGTCTTATCCCTCCCTAATTAAATTTCTCCATAAGTTTCTATATTGGGTCATAGGGGAAGGGTGGGCAAGTTGACACAGCCGGGCAAGACGACACATTGCCCCCACCACGAAAACTAGTCCACACGCTCGTTATAATTTACACCTTCACCATGATACTATGAACTAAAAATAAACCCACGCGCACGCGATCAGTCTATCTCTTTTGCACGTGTGACGTCATTTGGAGACAAATGTCACCAGACATGTTGTGTTTTTCATGGAGTTTTGTCAGATTTAGTATTGTTTTATCGTTTATCTAGTACGTTGACAAATAAATGTGTGCACTTTATATAAAATATATTTCAGAATATTAAATTAAAGATAAACTTTCATCGCCAAGTGACGTCATGCGCATCGACGTACAAAATTCGATTGCGAAGTGGTTTTATCATGGAAGTCATAGTATCATGCACCTTCACAATAATCGTTTGATAGTCTTTGGGTCTGGATGCTCCGTACGTTTAAAAAAATATTTACGTTTTTGTGTCATTGTTGCGTGTTGGTCCAATGTACATACCATATGTTTCGTTATATATTTATGCCATTGTAGCATTTCTCATCCTGATTTATTTTGGAGATAAAAGGGCGTTCCTAAGCTTTATCTTAGGATATTGCAACTGCTCTTAGGTTATATTGTAACCGACCATGTTTTCATGTTATGATCACACGCGCTAGCGGGCAAGTTGAGATATAGCTGTGTCTTCTTGCCCTCTAAAGGACGGATTTATAAAGTATTTTGGGGGGAGGTAAAAATACTCTGGGCCAAATTTTTACCCAAAACTCCTTTAAAATAAAATTCTCAACTAATGTTTTGGGAACATGCAAAAAACAATTCAGTGGTGCTATTTTGCTTGCATTGGTACTATTCAGTGGTACTTTTTGGAGCCACTAAGTAAGTACTACGATGCAGCAGCAACTCAAGGGTTGAAGGAGATCCAAGTCGTGTCGTCACTCTTTACCAGGTCGCGTCGCTTTTTTCTTCCGCCTACAATAAAACCGCAATACCAACAATAGCTTTAAGCGGATTCAAAGCAACAGGGATCTCATCTTTCAACCCGGATATATTACCAGAACACATGTATTTGCCCAGCACAGTAACTGACGTACTACTTGAGGCCAATAATGCAAACACTGAATCCCTTAATCCGAGTGCATGTTTCACTGCAGCAGAACATTTGAATGCAGAAGATCCGCAATCATCTGCAACAGTAAATACAAAGCCACATGAACATGTAGAGTCTTCAGGTAATAACGTCACAAACGTTTTTTTTTTGCAAATTTCACCTCTTCCTCAGGGAAATGCAAGAGAGTCCAGAAGAAGAAAGGCCAATAGTTACCAAGATGTTTTTACCACGAGTCCATATCTCCAGAGTCTTCGCGAACAACAGAATATTAAGAAAGCCAGACAGGTAAGAGGGAATAAGCAAAACTTAGTGAAGAAAAATGTGTTTGATGGTACCCTAGAATGTGGAGATAAAGACACTCAAAAAAATTGTCGAGATAATCTAGAAAATCGAGAAATCTATGAAAAAAATCATACTGTGAAGAGCACTTTAATGAGGACGACGACGATGATTGCGCATGCCTCTATTGCAATGAGTTATCCAAATCTCAAAAAGGCTGGTTACGTTGCCAAAAGTGTCAAATGTGGGCTCATGCAGAGTGTGCAGGACTATCAATGAAGGCTAAGAACTTTATTTGTGAATTATGTTTTGATAATTGATCACTTTATGTATAAATCCACGTATATAGCGTCTTGCCCTCTAGGGTAGGGCAAGATGACATTTTGACTCACCAACTTGATACAAGAAGAATACAAAAACAATGTTATTTTTAACCAAAAGCAAAACTGCCTCCCCACCTCAATCATTTCGGGTAACGGACGTTATACAGCTTTATTAAGAACGATATCATTAAACAAATTTTCCTTGGTTTGTATTAATCGCACTTCCAACATACTCACAGATAGTATTTAATTAGAATATTAAAGTTAAGCTGCGATCTTTCTAAAGATAGAAAAAGAAGAAATTCCTGCTTCTCAGTATCGTACATAACAAAATTTCTTATTTATATAAATATAACTCTCATCCAATCGGTCAAAGACTCTAGAGCTACAATATAATTCAATACATCTCATCGTTCTAGCTTTACAGTTTGTCAGCTTTTTGCATACACAATGGACCGCAGGAGTGTGACGTCACAACTGTCACATTGTCATTATTACTTTCCAAGCAAACGTTGAAATGTCAAATCTCAAGACTTTTTAATTCCTATAAAGTTAACATTTTGCTTCCTCTGTTGCTTTTTCTTGTAAGTATAGTATTTTCACGATAATACCATCATAATTCAGAGTTCTATTTCTATGAAATATGGTTTAAAAGTTTAATTAAAGAAATTTTAACCTTACTTTATTGATACTTGCATTTTATTCCTATTGGCATAAAAAATGTGCTTTATTATTTACACAACCTTGTAAAATTGTTGTAGTAACTATTAGAATACTTAAAATATTGCAAAAAGCGGAAAGACTCTATAAAATAAATGAAAAAATAACAAAAAATACAAATTATCCACACTAAACAAGGTTTGTTTGGAAAGTGAAACTGACAGATGTCAATCAAATCTACGTCATCACTCCTGTGGTCCATTGTAGTTTATAACTTATAACTCTTTCTCACTCCTCTACTCTCAATGCCAAATTAAGAGTAAAGGGAAGAAATAAGTTTGTTTTTTGTAAAAAGTTAGTAGATGTGATAACTTATAGAACATATCTTCCATGCGAAGACGAACAATTTTTTAATGTGCACTTTATATCTTAGTAGATTAGATGAAGGAAATTAAGGACCTACGCACAAAATGTTAACAAAGTTAGATTGTTAACAAAGAGTGATTTTCGGCAATTTACATTTTTTGTAAAACCGTATAGAATGAATAAAGAAGTGAATTAGTGGCACTCTTCCTGAAGACAACAGTATTTAATACCAACATGTCCCGGCTGCCCATGGAAATGATTGAAAGAGTATTCCCGACTAGGAGAATATGGACTACTTGTCGGGACTGAATTTCTTTGTGATGGTGATTTCCGCATGTCATGGCTCCCAGGGCTAAGTGGTGGTGAAGAGTTTATTTCGGGTACCTCATCCGCTGGCGAAGCCTCACTGCAGGGCGGCGTTATACTAGCTGGTGGAGAGTTGGTTCCGCTCATGTTAACATCACAAGTTGACCGGATTATAGCCACTGGCCTAGCCATTGGAGGTAGCGGAGGGGGCGGTAGCATTGTGGATGGAAAATACTGGGGTTTAGGACTTCGAGATAGACTTGACTGGATCTGAAAATAAATATAAAATACAAGTAAGCACAAGTTCTGTATTGACAGCCGTTAATAAGCTACATGACTAAAGTTTTCAGAATAAAACAGGGTTGTGCTTTATCCTTCTATCATTTAACATTGTAATAGTTACCGTGCTAACAAAGTTAAACTATAATAGAAGAATTGCTCGATACGGTTGGTAATTCGTTTTTATGGGTAGGAATAAATGTTGATTTGCAGCACTCATCAGGCCATTTACCTGTGATCCATATTATATTGCACATATTCATTATTACATTTACTTAAATCTGGCCCATTGCTATTAGAGTTTCGGCTGATATGCCAACTACTCTTGTTCTTGGGGTCTTGTTGTTTGTTAGTTGATAGCTGCTTGTAAACTTATTGGTTCTACCTATTTAATTGCATGTTTTTTGTGTTCTGAGACTGATGCATCTATTAAAGTGTTTTTGTATACTTCTGAGCAGTAATTTTTCCAGATTTCTGCGAAGCTCTTTACGTCTGTTTTTACTTCTCCATTATAGTCTTAAATGGCTTGAAGTTGTTGCTTGAACTCTCTGGCCACACATTTAATGAACTTCTTTAAGTAGTTCATGACCTTTGTTATCGAAAGGTTTTTCATAGTCAGTGAATAGAAGATGTCGTGGGTTATATCCTATGACTTCTTCTGTTAATATTTTAAGAGTATGGATACGAACCTTCTGTACTGCTGGTATGCATCAAATAAGCGAGCTGAGGAAATCACGGTAAACTTATACACTTTTCATATAGGTCTATAGATGTACAACAACTAAGTGTATTGCAGTTCCTAAAGATAATGCATAAACATTAAAATCAACATAAACAAAGCAAATAAAACTATATGACTGTAATACTGTTTCGATAATTTGTTGTAGAGTATCATGCAAACATGTAGAAGATATTCATAGCTTTTTCCATATTGTGAAAGCAACTTCATGAACAGACTACCGCTTATTGTTAATTGAGCTAAAAAGATAAACTCTAAAAACTTACCTGTGAGTTTTGATTATTATCTGTTTCTTGGCATACAAATGTAACAAAATCAGACAAAGTGTCGTGCCCATTTTCTGGATATTTAACTTGGTTTTGATGAGGGTGCGATTCGGGACTGTGTTGATAAAACAAAGTACTTGGGCTTGCTTGAGAACTGGAAGAAACCAACGTGGTATTTTGAGGCATCGCTAAAAATAAAAATTAACATTTTATCTAGCGATCATAATTAAGACATGCTTGTTATAGAACCTCTGAGATCTCATGTTTTAATTTAAATATATATATATATACATATATATATATATATATATATATATATATATATTATACATATATATATATATATATATATATATATATATATTAATATATATATATATTTATAGGGGATTAAATGTTAGTATAGGTATCGTAGGTGTTGTTTTTTGCTATTAAGATCAAACCATTAAAATCTCCGGTAAGTTGCTAACTGTTAATGACAAATGGGTCACAGCTGATCTCTGCAAACGAATCCTACCTCCTTCGTATACGAAGAAATAAGTAGTGTAATCATTAGACTTCGGCAAATATGCATATTACATATTTTGCATATTGTGCATATTTTATGCAAATATTTCATATTTTGGCATATTTGTATAAAAGTTTGCATAAAGTGCATAAAAGTTCAGATTTTTATACTGTATTTGAAAATTTTTAAACATACCAATTTATTTCAATTCTTGTATAAAATTTTGTAGTCATTTTAATCAAGAAATGATCTAAGTACGTAATCTCTACAGGTACAAAACATTTACAATTTCAAAGAAGATCAATTTAAGTAGCCCTCAACATTCTTAGAAAGTCTCGGTCACTGAGGCATTCAGTTATTGGATAATCGATAAGGGTTCGCTCATTTGCATTTTATGATCTAATCCCCAAATCTATCTACAATTTATTGTATCTTAACAGCAGGTAAACGGCTAATAGTTTTGTTCCTAATTTAGGGATTTTCCAAAATCTCCCAGTTTATTGAATTAGGTACCTAAACATTTCTAATTTGATGCTCAGATTTGTAAATCATTTTTGTTTTGATATTCAATGCGTAAACACCCATTGTGCGTAACAAAAAGGAAGATTGTGATTTTATAATGCCTAAAACAACCAGTGCTTCAACTTGGATTAAACCTTATAAAGAGCTGTCTATGGATATGGGAAAAATCTACTGTTCAGTCTGTGGCAAAATTGTAAGTATCTAATATTTTCTATTAAATATCTAATATTTCATACATACAGGGTGTTTCCAAATGACACTTACAACGTTTGACTGTAGATACTTCTCGAAAAATTGAACAAAAAGATATAGTTAATGAGGGGTCAAACTTATTTACTTTTCGAGATACAGGGTGTTAAAATTAAAAAAAATTAAATTCTTTTAGTTAATAACAACAATAACTTTAAAACCAATAAACGTATTTACTTGAAATTTAGTACTCGTAGGTTGTTTTTAAATGAAAAATAGCTTCCTTTAGTGAGAAAAAATTGTCCATGGTACAATACAATGGTGTGTATTTAGAAAAATTTTTCATCTTTACTTTTTTTTATGAAGTCAGCTATTCTAAAACACAATTATTTTTATTGTAATTGAATTAACAAAAAAAACTTTTGTTGAATTTTAAAATAAGTTATATGATGTACTAATGGTTAGTAACAAAAACTAATTTGTGGATTAATACTGCATTTAAAACACTTAGCGAGTGTTTTTTTTTCCAAACCAGTTATTTGATTAACCAAAAACACCTTGTATATTTTTATATTTTAAAGGTTGGGTTAAAATAAAGGTTTTTATTTTTATTTATAGATAGCATGTGAGAAGAAATTTCAAATAGACCAACATGTGAGAACTGCTTCACACATTGCAAAAAAAGGAAAAATAGGAGGAAAACATCAAACTTCAATGGCTAAATGTTTCCAATCTACTTCAAAAAAATTAGATGAGCAAGAAACTTTTAATGAAGACTTGTGTCGCGCATTAGTGTCTGCAAACATACCGCTTTCAAAATTAGCAAATGTAAATTTTAGTTCGTTTTTAAAAAAATATTGCAAACTTAATGTTCCAAGTGATCGGTCTCTAAGAAGAAATAATGTGAACGGGCTATACTCGTCGGTGTTAATTAATATTAAGGAAGAAATTGCAGATAATTATTTTTACATATCTGTAGACGAAACCACTGATTCCTCAGGAAAGTATATTGCTCATTTATTGATTGGTGTTCTTAAAGAAGATACCTTACCAAAATCTCATCTTGTTTCATGCCAGCAACTTGAGAAAACAAATGCTTTAACAATTTCGCGTTTTATACAAGAAACATTAGCAACTTTTTTTCTTCCGACAACTATTCCTTCTAATAAATTACTGCTTATTTTATCGGATGCTGCTCCTTATATGGTGAAAGCAGGACAAAATTTAAAAATATTTTTCCCAGATTTAATACATGTTACTTGTGTAGCGCATGGATTAAACAGAGTTGCAGAGGAAATACGAAAAAAGTTTCCTCTTGTAAATACCATGATATCCAGTGTCAAAAAAGTATTTCTTAAATCTCCTATAAGAATTCAACTTTATAAAGAAATGCTACCTAACATTCCTCTTCCACCACAACCTATTTTAACGCGATGGGGAACATGGTTAGAAGCAGCTAATTTTTATGCAGATCATTCTGTTAAAATAAAGAACATAATTGATACGTTAACAGATGAAAGTTCCCAATCTCTTTTGGATTCTAAACAAACTTTTCAGAGTAACTTGCTACAACAAGAACTTTCATTTATAAAATCAAATTTTAGTTTTGTTCAAAAAACAATTACTCAGTTAAAATCACCAAAACTGTCATTGTTCGAAAGTACAGCATTAATAAAAGAATTTGCGTCATGTTGTCGGAACGTTAGAGGTAATATTGGAAAAGATATTTTAAAAAAATTTGAAGCTACTATGGAAAAAAATAAAGGTTACCATATTCTTTCTGAAGTAGTCAGTGTTCTAGCTGGAAATATTTCGGAAACAATTAATTTAGAACCAAATGTTTTGGTTAGTTTGAAAAATGCTCCCGTTACATCAGTTGATGTTGAACGAAGTTTTTCCATATATAAATATATGTACTCAGACAGAAGTTTTTGTTAGAAAATTTTGAACACCACTTGGTCATTTATTGTTACCATAATTCTAAATAAGTTTATTCATACTTAAAAATGATGTAGTTACTTAAAATAAATGTAAATCTTAATGAATAGTAGGAAATATTTAGTTATGTACACTTTTTTTTAAATAAAATTGTTACTATTTTACGATTTTTTTATTTATTTGTATGCATATTTTGTAAAATGTTTGCATATTTTCGGGTAAACACGTGCATATTTATGCGCATATTTTCTAAATTTTTATTTGCATATTTGCCGAAGTCTAGTAATCACCAACAATTTATGGGAAAGGCGGGTTTCGGCGCCTTATAATCGAAACACACCAGCGAACTAATACCAACCCGCACTGATTTTGAAGTTTTTTATTGCTTCAAAAAAGAGAACATTTTGGAATGTTATTTCAAATTCCTGACTATCAATTCATTTTCTACATTTTTTACACTTGCTTATTAATAACTAAAAAACAACACTGAATTTTTTGCAGAAAATATGTAAGTTTTCTTTCTGTGGGTATATATTAAGTAAAAACGTGCTAGATACCTGAATTATTGAAAGTCCCGAGAAAAACTGACTTCCCTGGGGTATATATGATAAGCAAACTTTCATTATATACTTACAGTATGTTGCTGAGACCACCATGGAATCAACGGAAGATGATCGGTCTACAACAACTGACCCAGGTTCAGGATAGCTGTTGCAGTAAAAAGTTGGGTGTTCTAGCTTGACGCTGTTCATATTTGGATGACCTTCGGAGAGTTCGTGCAAGATTGAAGCTGCAAAAAAATAGTTTTAATAAAAAAACTACAAATGTTAAATAATATTACATTTTGACAGTTTCCATAACTCTTTGGATGAAAATACGCCTGTGGCTAAGATAATGTCGTTACACACCACGCCATTGTATGGATTATGCGTATATCCTGAAAGTACAAAAATAATTATAGATCAGTTTTTTTGTAACACTTTAGGGATGCTGAAAACTATTTAATACCGTTAAATGGAATATATACTATATAGGTTTACTTTTGAGACGGTTGCCTTTCGTGGCCACAGTGAGATTTAATAAATCGTCTTACATGTAATAGAGGCCGTAATATATCGTCACCTGAATTTAAGAACTAGGTAGGTATCTCAATTTTTTTATGTTTTAAGATATCTATACAGTATTATTTCAAATAATATCATTGATTATAAACCACTACTGGTAGTAGTGGTAGTACATACTAAACCACTGGTAGTGGTTTATAATCAATGATAATATGTAGCGTTCAGTACAAAAAGTAGGTACCTTATTTTAATAGGTAAGAGCCATCTACTGGTTTAAGTAAAAAGTAGGTACAAATATCGAGAGGACTTCTATGCATCACGATACACTTACAACGGTACGCCGACGCGCATCTTCAGTGACGTCACATCGATGCAAATAGTAAGTTATTGTTGGTTAGGTTGAGTGTTTTTATTTTTAATTTATCCCATTGTGGATTTACTAATTTCCAATTTTCAAATCGAATACAGTTGTAATGAAACGGCGATATTGAGATACAAAAATACTTTTGAAAGAATTTATAAAAATTAAATAAAAAAATATTCAATATAATTGGAATTTACGAATATTTATTTCAATATAGAAAGCGCTTTAACAGAATAATGTTTTAATACTTCGTAGGTATGTATTTATTTTTTTACGGTTTGTAGATTTTAACATTTTTATTTCCAGTTTTACAAATTTTAACCTAATTTGCTTATCAATTTCTCGCAATCTTATGTAGCCTCTGGTACGACTAAGGCAATAGTTTCGTTCGCGGTACGAATCCTGGACTCGTTCTGGATTACTTCGCATGCGCAGTGTAAAAATGAGCGTTCGCGCTGATCAAGTTCTGGACTGACAGGGACTGCTAGTCCGGAATCTTGTCGTTCGCGGTAACAGAACTTGCAGTTCAGAACCAGTTCAACCGATCCTTGGGATTTGAAGAGAACTCGGAGTTCGTACATGCGCAATAGAAATACTAGAAATTTCAAAATAGGAACATGGAACATTTTTATTATTCTGGTGATTGTCACTCTGAACTTTAAACGGTTTATTGTTTATTCGAGACATTCTGTTGTATTTCTAACAATGCTCATCTCTAAACTAGACGAACTAGACTCTAAAATGTGCTCTAATCTAAATAAAATATGGCCGCTGGCAATGCGCAAACCAGATGCGTGAACAATTCCCGCCGAGTCGACTGCGCCTTCGGGTTGTTCTGTATTGGAACTGAAAATTGTTCAAAATTCGTTCGCGGTGTAAATCAATCCTGAACTGATTATGAACCGCGCTTGCGTACAACCCGATTACTACGAGGATTCTAAACGCATCCTGAACGCGTCCAGGATTCGTACCGCGAACGAAACTAATAAATAACTTTATAAAGTATATTACTTCATTACCAAGCATGGCAACAGTACGGTCAGCTATCAATGAAAATATTTTTTTCTATTTAGAAAGTGACGTTCCATGCATTAAATTGAACTCTGTTTCCAGTACTTTCCGTCGGTACACGACGGCATTTTAAATAGCTATAATAATTTACACGTACTTTTAATCACCTATCGGATAGTTAACAATAGTTTTTTTTCAAATTCAAACATACAATAAACAACGATTTACTAAAAACCACGAAATAGATTTCAAAACACTGAAAATACTATCTCACACCATAATATAGAACAGCTCGATGCATCGACGTGACGTAACTGTGCGTCAAAGACACGTTTTTATTCCAAACGTAGCATACCGTTGTAAGTGTATCGTGCTATGCATTTAGTAGGTAGGTAACTAAAGATAGCTCGTTTGTGCAACATCCGTATCACCCGATTGTTTTGGAAAATGTGGCTACTTAGACTTACCTAGTTTTAAAATTCCAAATTTCTGTATTCAAAATATTTATAAGACGCTAAAGCATAACAATTCTGTTTTATAAGTAAATATGATGACTACAGGAGAAAAGATGTGCAGTTAGCACATGAAGTTGATTCTCACACAAAAGGTAAGTGGTAGTTTGAGTTAATTTTTACGATAAATTGGTTAAATAGGAATAAAAGGTAATGTATTTATTTGTGTGCAATGACGTATAATATAAAGACTCGAAAAACATTTTCGCCATTTTGTATGTTTACATATTTTATGTGAGAAGCAAATTTTATTTTAAATTGTTGAGAGTTATTTATTTACTATTTTAGTAAAATGCTATACTATTTTATAAAAATAATTTTTTCTCTTATAGACAGCAACAAAAAAAATCATAAATATTTAATTTTAATTAAAAAAATAATTATTGTCATTAAAATATAAATGAGCACGTCGCTGTTCTGGTAAACATACCTTCAACTTTTGAGCGGAGATCTTTGGGACACCCGATTATATAGCGAGAATACGGGAAGGCTTAGTCTATATATTATACGTCATTGTTTGTGAGGTAAATCTGGATTTGTTCTTCTCACGACGTCCTTAATAAACAACAATAACTTTAAGTTTCATTCAAATAAAAAAAGAATTGTGTTTAACAACCTTAAAGATAATTTATTTTTAAAACGTTGGTTTATTATAACCTTAAAAATAAATAAATCGTTCATATCCCTCCGTTCATCGGGTGTGGTCTGTGAGTGTACGACAAAATAAAAATTTTGGATAATTCTCTCATTTTATTTTTTTAAATTTCTACCTTTTCAGTACCTTCCTAGAAACTAAATACCATTCTTTTTACATAATTTTACATAAATAATACAAAACTGTTTTGAAATTTCTAAATAGCTGCTGCATGGCAGTTTGTCCTGACAGGCCCCACCCGATCAAATGTGTAACAATATTTGCACTGCTTCTTAATTGTATTTTACTTGAAATCTTGTTTCACTTGGCCATCCTGTGCATTTTTACGAACTGGATTATTCGATTGTTCCTAGAAAATACGTCAGTTCACTGACTGCCGTATTATATATACCGAAGAAAGGAAAAAATGTGATTGCTGTTTCCACTGTGCACAGAGATGATCGAATTGATGAAGATACTGGTGATCAGAAAAAAAAAACAGAAATAATTACTGTTTATAATTCCACCAAGAGTGGAGTAGATGCTGTAGACAGAACGGTCACATCATATAATGCTTCCAGAAATACGAAACGTTGGCCAATGATAGTAGTTTATAATCACCTTAATCTCGCAGCAATTAATGCATTTGTAATTTACAAAAGCAACAACCCAGACACAGAATTTTTCAAAACGTGAAGATTATTCCAAAAAAAACCTAGGTACAGAAGAGTATACGACGGAGAGCAGTTGACACGCATTTGACAAAAGTTCTGCGTGCTTCGGCCTTGAGACTCTCAGGCATTGAGGTTGTCGTTGTACCAGAGCCCCAGCCAGGTAAGAGAGGAAATTGTAAATATTGCAAAAGACGCAAAACTTGCTTTTTTTGATTTATTATGACCACATAATAGCATGCTGCAAAGATTGCTTAGAAAATTTGACCACCAAAGTTTGACCACTGTAGTTTGTGTCCACAATTTAATTTTATATATATATATATATATATATATATATATATATATATTATATATATATATATATATATATATATATATATATATATTTGTATTACTTTGTTTGTTTCTAATTAAAGTTTTAAATATTGTTTTTGTTTTTTTTTATTATTTAGTCGCTGTTCACAAATTTGAAAAAATATGCGTTGAAATTGTAAACATTTTTAAAATTTACCTAATACAACTTAAAAAAAATTTGGAATTATTTCTGTAATAAACATTATATAGTAAATAGTTTGTGTAAAACACGTTGATGCGAAATTAGCAATAAAACGTATACTGTTGCTCGGGACGCGGTATTTAATTTTGGTCCTCACAGACCACACCCGACCGAAAGTGTTTCAGAATGGTCACCCGATGAACGGAGGGATATACAGATCTGGTTGTAAAAATTCTTCATTTGACTATAGTGGTTCACACACTAACCTAAAGACACCAGATTATAAAGACTTATTTCCAAATAATTCTGACACCGGCGATTTTTCTGGAGACGAATCAGAGTATTTTCACAGCTGCCGTTCAGACATATCAGATACATCAAGTGTACATGTAAAATTGGCAGGGATGGAAAAACGACCAACAGAAACTGACAAATACCTACGAAAAAAAAGGCAGCCAACCAGTTGGCCAAGAAATATCCATAAACAAAACTTGAAGGTCAGGAATATATTTCAGTAAAAGGAATAGGTAGTTAAACCGGCTGTCCAAATGAAACCTCTCTGCAGGGAATCGTGTAGGCTTAACTGTTGTATTATTATCATGATCCATTCTTCATTTAGCACGTCCACTGATGGACATATGCCTCCCTTAAACTCGTCAAATCTTTGCGATTTTGTGCTGTTTGTTGCCAGTTTTTCGTGATACGCCTGATGTCAGCTCAACGTCTAGGTGGTCTTCCTCTAATACATTTGTCTGCTGTTTGCCTCCAATGTGTAATTTTGCTCGTCCATCGTGAGTCATGCATTCTCGCTACATGGCCTGCCCAATTCCATTTTAGTTCCGCTATACGTTCAACAACATCAGCAATAGGTACTCGTCCTTCTTCGGAGATCTTTGTTTCTTATTCGGTCCCGCAACGTCACTCCCAGCATAGATCGTTACAAAGTTTCTTCACACTTTTTAAGGTGAGAAGGTGTGTTCGAAGAAAAACATACGTATTAATAGACAATTTTCCAA